GCCCGGCCGGGCCTGCGTTTGGGGAGCCCCGAGGGGTCCTTCGCGGCCCCGCGGCCCCTGCCGGCTGGGAGCAGCACCGCATACAGCCTAAGTGTAACCGCCGGGGCCGGCTCTCCTGCTTTGCCCCTGCACCGAGGGGCTCTGGGAGGCCTCTGGGTTGAGTGCTGCGTCTCCCAGCTGCCTTTGGGAGCTGTTGGCCGCCCTGTCAAGGGAAGGGAAGGGAGGCCAGCCTGCCTGCAGGGATCCTGCCAGCAGGCCCAGTGCATGGATGCTGTGTCCCCCATCAGGGGTCCCCCTGCCAGCTGTGCTCACTCTTGGTTTGGGGTCTAGCTGTGGAGCCTAGGCATCATCCCAGTCAGTGGCCTTGTTTTCCTTCATAAAGGTTTTCTTTATTCTGGTTATACTTTTGACTCTGCTATTGTTACTCTGTATAGTTTTGTACTGGTGTGTATATAATGTGTATATGCATATACACATAAGATCTGTTTACTATTAGGTGCATGCTGTTGGGTTATTTTGTGACTCTTATGGCTAATAATTGATTAATTTTACTTGTATAATTCTAGTGTCTTTCCTGTTACAATCAACTGTTTTGCTGTCATGTGGCCTGGCACTTGTAAGCCCTCTCACACCTCGGGAAGGCAACCTGCTAGTCATCCAAAAGAATCTGCAAGTGGCAGTCAGTGATTTAATATGCATTTTCTTGTGCTCTTGCACTGCTGGCATGGACTGTCACAGATACTACTAGTGACACTGTAGAAAGAGATCTAATAGTGATACCATGAGGTCATGTAATGGTTGCCCTGTGTTATTTGTTGTTGTCTGTGTGCTCTAAGCTAGTATTCAAGTGTCTACAGAGCTTTGAATCAGAGTGGTATTAGTGGGACGATCTGCTCAGATTAATGAGGTTTGCTAAAAGTAGAGTGTATTATGTTGGCTGAGCTACCATGTGTTTGCAGTTATCTGCTGTACAAGTGGCCATGTAGGAACGATGTCTGCTCAACATCAGTCAGTAAAGGACTTGTCACACAATAAGGAAGCAGTACAGAGTAGCAGAGAGCCCTTTTCCCACAGCTTTGGCCAGCTCTATGAGGAGTGATAATAGTATCAGCTGCTAAAAGAAGAATCGGGTGTGCATGTAGGGGGAGGGAGTGAAAAACAAGTAGCCAGGTGTAGATCTAAGCATATAACTGGCTAGCTGGAGGAAACAAGCAACAAATGGGCTATTTAATGAAGTGCTCTAACCTTTTTTCCTTTCACTTTGAAGCATGTATGTGAAGGAGTGGAGACACAAGCTGAGAATCTCCAAAATCACATACTTTCAGTAAATGAGTTCAGGGCAGGTTTTTCTGTTTGAAAAAAAAAAAAAACCTCTGCATGGCATTTAAAGTTTCTAAAGTAAATTTTTAGATCAGCTGTTGACTTTCTATTTGCTGGAGCCTATATTTTTTTCCCTGGTTTTTGCAATCAGTCTCAATTATGGAACCTTAAAGGCTTTGAATAAGATGCTCTGAGCTAAGGTTAGAATCTGCGTGTATATGTATGTCATAGGTATGTGATGTGTGTGTACATACATGATGCGCATGTGTGTTTGTGAACATGATACTACATTGTTTCAGTTTGTCCATTCTACTAAAGAAATAGCTAGTTTTTCAATCAACAGTTTTCTCCCTTTGGAGATGCACAGCAGCTAATAGGATAATTGGATGGCCTGATTGGAAAGGACTGCAGGCCCACGAATGGGAACTGAACTGATATCCTGACATCTTGCTATGCAAAGGAGACCTAAATCTTGTTTTGCCACTTGCAGTAGCATCATAGAGCTTTGTTTTGATGATTTGTGTAAATCAACTGGAAAGTAAAACATGTGGGTTCTGAAAATTGTTTGCTTGTGCCAATTGCTATTCTGGCTGGATCAGCCAGTGCTTAGTTTTACACCCAGTGGTTAATCCCAGTGGAGTTAGTTGTGGCTTTAGGGCTTTGTCTAGAAAGTGGTGTTAATGCTCTGTATGAATGAGGCATGAATTTACACTGAAAAGTAATAGAATGCTCTTGGTCTGTCCTTGTGATGGAAGGACTTCTTCCTCATGTTGTTCTAGAGGGGCATTTTCCTGTATGTTGAGGGACAGCAGTATGGCATGTGAAGACTTGAGTTCAGTATTGTTGGATCTGTAAAAATTCACCAATGTTTCCTGCAAACTCATCTAAAACAAATACCACTACTCCAGGGAGTTATGAGAGCAAATGAAAAACTTTGAGCTGGTAATATTACTGTATTGGTAACTGCTTTTCTCTCCTCTACATAAGGACACAAAGGTAACAGTTCTGCGAGCTGTCTTGATGGGAGCTGTATCACTGGAGTTGATGGGATTCCTTGGTGACTGCTTGATATGGGTAAGGAATGCTGGATCTGCTTCAATATATATATTTTTAATTGGGTTGAGAGGAAACAGGATCAGCCCTTCATTTTTTGGGTATGGGAGGTATTTTTCTTCTGCCAAAATAAGTCAAGAAGAAAATGAAAAAACAGCTTACGCAGAAAACTTCTATCCATCTTGTACTGTGTTTTCTAGGGAAGAAAAAAGCAAGCCACAGAAAAACCCAGCATGTTTAAATTGTAATGAACTGCAAAAGCTGTAAGATGTGTTTTGGTATCAAAGCATGTTTGGGTATAACACTCAACTGAAATTCCATCCTTTATTTGTTACCTCTCTTCTATTGTGCATAGGTAAAAGACTTGATTTTTAGTTAGGCTCTTGGGAATGTTTATGACAATTTCTTACATGTCTCTGACGCGTTTTGTGGGCTCTCCTTCTTTTGGGGGATAAGACTATTAGATTATCAGGGCTGCTTCTAACTGTGTCTAGGAATTTTCCCCTTGTAGAGCTAATGAATGCAGTGATAAGCTAAGCCAGCAGTAACAGATCACTGGTAGCCTGTCCATATAGCTGCTCACATACAAATGACAATGGTAACTGCACATACAGGCTAGATCTGGATAATGGCTCTAGGCCTGATGTCAGGGGGAGAACTTGCATTTCCCCAAAGCAGTTCAGTCTAATCAACTTTTTTTCTGATAAAGGCTGGTGGCTGGTAGTTGCATTATGTGAACTAGTGGATTAGCTAACATGTATTTGCTCACTCTGCTGTTTCAGCGAACAGCAGAAGTAGTTCATTGTAAAAGCCATCCTAGCATTAGGCCAGTAACAATCTGATAAACAGAAAAATTGATATTTTCTAGCTCTTACTTCTGTAATTGCTAGCACAATGTCACTTACTGCAAAAGCATGTGAACCCCAGTAAAGCTTCTGACTGCTTTGGACTTTGCCTGCAGTTAGATTAACAGAGCAGAAGCAACAGCATTAAGACTGCTACCAGGTTGCTACCATGTTACCAGGTTGCTTCCTTGCCTGAATCGGTGTGACCCTTCTTCCTCTGGGAACTGAGTAGCTGTTGAAGCTATGGGTTTTATCCTGTAGCGGGCCATAACTAAACCTGTAGTAAAACTTTCTCTTGGACCTGAGTCTTTATTTATAAAGACTCAGTGGGTTCCTGAGAGCATCAGCAGAAATCAAGTTTTTTTCCTCTAGGAGACGGAGCAGTCACACTGGCATAATCAGTATGTGGGTTATCAAATACTGCATTCAGACTGGAAGATGCTGTTGAGTGTTACTTTAGCCAAATTCATAACTGAGCAATTATCTTCTGCTGCTTGGAGTTCCAATTGGTGAAGGAAATAGCCATTTTCTTATCAAAGTTGCAGTGTAATGTTTACGCAGGTACTAAGACAGGTACCTCCTTTCATGCCTGAGTGGAGATTGACTTTACCTTTGTGTGTAGTTTATCTGTCAGTTAAACTTAATGAAATAGCTTGGGAGCCTTCAAGGGGATATGTATAACACAATTTCCCTATTGGAAAGGCTTAATTGAGAGATGCTTCTAAAAGCACTTAAGACACTTGAATGGAGTGTACTGCATGAATAGTATTTAGGGTATTTTAATTTCTGTGGTGTCTATAACACAATTTTGCAGTAGTAACAAAATTCAGAGCAACTCTGGGATTTGTGGGAGGATCATCTACAAAATAGAAGTTTTCTAGCTAAGGGAAACTGGGGACTGATTAAACTTTATTTGTAATGCTGAGCACAGACATCTGGCTTCCTTTTATAAAAAAGGATTTTGTTGAAACTAATATGTAGAACTGAGAGAAGGAAAATGGAAATAGTCCCTTTTTCTCTAAGTGATGTCACTCTGGAGGAAATCGGGGATCTCCTGGGGCCCTCCTGCATGTGTGTCTGTTCCCTGACCGTTCAAGCCAGAGGAATAACCCAGGATAACCTAAGAAATGGCCTGGAGCAGAACTCCTGTGCAGGGAAGTACTCGGCCATGCTTGTCCATGGTCAGGACCTGAGCGATGGCTGACTTTTCACCCTTCACACCTCAGGCAGAAACAGCAGCCTTGTGGCTCTTCTCATTGTGCTGCTATTAGCAAGGCAGGCAGAACTCCATCCTACCCTGGGCTGTTGCCCCTTACAGAAAAGAGGATGTGAAGGGGGCAGTTTATTCCTTAAACTGAGTGGGCAGGAGCTGCTAAGAGTCTAGCAAGACAATCGGAGCATCAGGAAAGGGGAGGAAGCTGACTCTAGAAAGCACTGGCAAAATTTGCCTGTTTCCTGTAGTCATAATGAAACAAATGTGCCAACAGTTTGCTTTCCACCCCCCACCCCCTGCCATATATCAGCTTTTCAAAATACTTCATGGCACTTTTATGAGCTTGAACATTCCTGGCACAGTTGGAATATCGCATCCCTTCTACAGAGGGGAATTTAAACAGTGTAAATGGGTTGACTTGCCTAAGGTCAGAAAATGGTGACCAGTTAAGAAAAAGTTCTTCTCCAGTAGGTGAGAAACTAACTTCCTTCCTGCCCTCACCTGACAGGTTCAGTGGGACAGAAGGGAATTTGTTGGGTAACAGAGGAAGAGCTTATAACCACGCTCCTATGGTTATGTAGAACTGTCAGTCTGTCTTAATTGAACTGCATTTATTTTGTTAGCAAAAACAAGCCTTTCCTGCACCATTTTCCCACCATTGATTAAAAATAGCTCTACCTCCGTTATCCCACAGGACATCTAGTGATCACAAGGATGTTCTGATCTTGTAAGTCATTACTTATAGTTGCAACATTTTCCATATTCATTGAGGAGGATAGATGGGAATTCCTTAGAGCAAGGCCTATGTTAGTTAGGTACCAAATCTTGGACCTTAGCTGAGGCTTGCAGGCAGGCTCTCCTGTAATATGAACAAATACAGTGGCAGGGGGTAAATTCTAATCCCAAGTCAGAGAACAGTCCTATGACAGAAGCAGAGAGCAACTGTTTCACTTGCAGGTTTTTCTCCAGAGCTTACCTGAGACACTGTGAAACTTTCGAGGGTCTCTCCAGTGAAAACATGTAGGGTTTTCTAAGTTCTAGTATATTGACTGTTTTGGAAGTCTATCTTCCCCTCTCTTGATCCCTTCATAAACCACAGGAAAATAAAAATCATTCAGCACTATCTTCCCAGCGAAATGGGCTGGACTTCATGTGGGACATGGTGTATTCCTGTAAGCCTGGCAAGAACTTGTGTCCCTTCAAATTTCTTAGAATCATGTGCCAATTTAAACTTGCTCTAGTAGAAATCGAAGTGTCATTCCTTTATTCACTTTGTACCTTACTCCCACTGAAACCACTGAGATCATCAGTAAAGTGCTGTGTGACTTGGTAGGAATTGCTACCTGATCTAGAGGAAAGGGTTTGTAATAGGGGAAAGCTCCCACTTGGGAAAGCTCTCTTGAAAAGAGGCAAACAAATTTGTAGCTCACATGTCCCAAAGTGCACTTCCCCCTCACCCCCCAATAATTTATTTGTTCATCTAACAGTACTTCATATACATTCAATTTCATTCAAGAAAATGACCAGCATGACTGTTCAAATGTTGCATAATAAACATCGGGCCTATAAAAACAGCATGTAGAAAATCCAATGACATTGAAATACCATATTCAGAAAATGCAGTGCCTGTTTCAAGAAACATCTTTAAAAAACATTGGCAGCCAAAGTTGTACAGCAGGCAAGCAAAATGCTACATCAGACAGAAGAAAAACAACATTTCTGCAACCAAAAAACTGGGTAAGCAAAAAACCACACCAGCTTGCATACAATTCCAACCATCTCAACAGAAGTAAGTACAACTGAGCATTCAGCAATAGTCAGCAAAGATACTGTATCACAAAATAATGATGCTATATGATCATTAGCTGAGATTTCGCTTGCCAGTGGCATCACTTTAAGCAGAGAACTGCTGAAATGCTGGCTGTATTTTTCTTACTTAAGAAAACTGGTTTATAAGGACTAAGCTTTTCCAGTAGAAACGCAGATCAGTAGAGAAGATAGCATTCAGTCTGAGACGATGATTACTGGGAATTCATTTCTGCTTTTTAGTGTAAACACTAAGCTGTTTTGACTCTGAAAAGGAACTGAAGGTTTCATGGTGCTAAAGGAGAAGATAATTTTCAGCCTGGGTTTGAGCTGAGTGTAGTAGACATAGTAATCCCCATTAGCTAGATTTTTTTGGGTGTCATAGAAATAACGCACCTTACAGTTCATATGTGATAGTTGACTGCAATATATAGCTCTTCTCTTTAGCAGTTCACTTCCCCATAGCTCATACTTGCTATTTTTCTCCTCCTCTGCCAGTATGAGAAATATGCAGCACACTTTACATAGAAGGCATGACATTTTGCTTGAATCTTTAATACGAATGCTTAATCTTCCCTTGGGAAATAAGTGATTCAATTACATTTATCAAACTGGATGGAAGATCTTTATTTTAATGCACTAAAACTCTCTCCTAGTGCCTTGGATTTTCATAATACTGTCATATATTAAACAATCTGCTTGCAAATACCTTCAGAAAGTAGTTGATTATGTTTATGGATTAGCTCCCTTCTATAGATGGAGAAGGTTTAGTTCACTTATGTGCAATGATAGGAAAGAAGGGATTAGTTTGGCCAGACAGCCTACTCTTCTCCCCTGAGTATGCTGAGTCTCATTATAATTAGGCAAGAAACAGAATGAAGATTCATGCTTGGTTACTGGGCTTGTTGGGAAAATAAGTTAAAGGCCAATACGCTAGTGAGATTTGAAGGTTCTGTGCAGAAGGATGACTGGAAATAGGCATGACTAATGCAGAAAAGACAGCAGCTTATACAAACCTGCCTCATGATAGTTCTCTTGCAAGCTCTTAGATGCCTTTTCTTGCTAGCACTTGGCAAACAATGACGCTGCATTGTGGAGGTTCCAAATATGCTTTGAGCTTTTAGTGCAGCGTCTTGAAGGCTCACTGGCTTTCCTCTTTAGCTCTGACAGAAGCAATCATTCAGAAAACTGTCATCAACAGCCTGTTGATTGTCAGCATTGTCTCCCTTATCCAAACAATTTTAAGAGGAAAAATATCTGAGTAGGATATTGAGTTAATTACCAAGCATGGATTCTACTGAAAATCCATGAAATCTTCCTTGAGTAAATCAATGAATTGGGTCCCTGCCTCATATCTTTATTTTCAAATTGAGTTTATAATAAAACCTCATTCATACATGAGCATTAGTTATCATGATGCTAACACACATAGCTAGAACTAAGTAACTTCTGCTTCAATAAAGCAATGAGATTTTTTTAACTGACTTCAGTTGGTATATGATACTGAAGTCCTTCATCTTGTTTCTTTCATGAAACAGAAGTCAGGTGGATGGGTTTTGCTGATAAGACTGGCAAAGCTCAGTGAAATCCACTTACTGAGTCTGAGGAGTAGAAAAGCAAGAAGTATTTCTCATTTAATCTTTTCTCAATGCTATGGATTTTCAAGATGTTAAAGCCTGGCAAAGGACAATACTATTTTTACACAATGTGTAATTTATCCTTGGACTTGGCAGAGTAAAACTCCAAAAAAAAAAAAAAAGCAAGCAGACATTTATTTGGGCAATGGGAAAACCTTAGAGTATTTAGGATTTGAATAATGTTGCAGAATATGTAAAGCCTTAAAATTAAGACACTAAATCTGAATGAACATTAAATCCCGGGGTAACCCTGGAAACTGGAATACTGACCTGTTCCTGCTCCTGGAAGAAAACAGATGGATGATTTACTTAGATTCAACCAGTGTAAATCAGAAGCCAGCTAACTACTAAACGCTGGTAGCTCTCTACACCTCACAGTAGAGATGGTCTGCTCCATTCAAAATGGAGATGAGATCTTAGCCTTTGCTCTCAATGGAGCGAACAGTGGGATGCCACACGTTCCCCTCAAGGTTTCGTTCAGGACACATCAATCAAAAGATCAGTGCAGTTCAGTGGATGCAACTTTGAGGGCAAATCAGCATGCTCCACTGTGTTTTTACTACCCCTCTGTAGATTTGGTAAACTCCCTGGCTATCTCCTGTTATCTTACAGTACTTCATAAAACAGAGCCCTAATCCTAGAAGGATTTTACCTGCAGTGACAGCTGGCAGGCTGATAGGGATTCTGTTGTACTGCTAGCGTGTTTTTTGACAGACATACAGAGTCTGTATGTCTGTCAACTCTCCTACTAGTGCCAAGTTCACTTTCAATAAAAAAAGTATATGGGCTGTTTAAATCTGCACTCTACTTTTTGAGACTTGTCAGTCCACGAAGATGACAAATGCTTATGATCCTACTTGAAACAAGGGAACAGGGCCATTTTCCTGCAGAGATTATCTGAGTGAGCCAAACAAATTATATATTCACTCTTGCTGGCAAGCAGAGGTTCGGGTAGGATCAGGTTTGCTTGATACCAAGGTCTGAGTCTGTCTGCAGTCATGGGACACAGAGGGTCTTCAGCTTCTGTTTTATGGGAAGCAGAAAGAACGAAGAAGAGGCAATGATTCAATTATTCTGACCTCTGATTCTCCCAAGCAGGAGCACTGTGCTTCAAGGGTGACCTTTCCCACCTGTCTTTCTAGATGCTGCCGCCAGCACCCTGACTTCTTTACTCTAATCACACAGGTTTCGATTATGTTGCTATTTCAGAATCGCTCTTTAATGACTGATCCATTTCTTCAGCCTGTATAAAGCTTCACAATAATCCCCTTGGCTGGTGGCATGAAACCTCAACAAATCTAAAATTACTAGAGAGCCGCTGTGTGAATCTCCCAGCTCTAAAGGAGAGATGGCACAAACGGCCTTACTAGTCTATCTGAAGTTATAAAATGGGTATACAAAGAGGGTTGGACAGCAAGTATGTACAGTGGAGATATTAAATGTTGCTCAATTCAATAGACGTTTTTAAGTGTTTCAGAGTTCAGGTTTGGTTCAAATAAATGTCCCATGTATTTGAATCCCATGAGACTGAAAACCTTGGCTTTGAGTCTCACATTGCTCTCTTATGAGATTTCCAGCTTTTCTGCTTCTTGTCTTGGCTTGAATACCATGAGAATAATTTTTTTCATGGTGTCTCAACACTTCTGGTTTCAAATTCTAACCATTGAAAAAAACTTCAGAAAGGCTTAAAGGGTAGTAGCAAGTGCTGCAAGGAAAGTTTACAGGCGTATGAGACCTGAAGTGTTCTTGGTTATCACACTAGAAGGAAAATGCCAACTTTACAAGGTCATTTATGCCTTTCTTGTTTTCTCATACAGTTGAATCGAGTTGGTGTTGTCTGAGCCAATACTACCTAGTGAATCTGCTTGAAGACTTGATGCCTACTTTTATGGGTTTTACTTCTGATCCTTTGAGATTAGCAGGATCGCCGGTAAATGGGTACCTAGTATTAGGTTTCCTTGATGTACAAATATTACAGGACAACATTAATGCATTGAGAACAGGGCCAAATGTAGGGGAAAAACTAACTGGCCCGTCCTTCCTCTGTGAACAGGCTACACAAAAATTGTCTTGCATGTATTGATTGAAATAATAGTTCTCTGGTGTGTGAATAAAGCTGTGGAGTATGAATAGCCTGTTAACAAAGCCCAGGCCGTTTTAGGAGCCTTGCAATGCAGACAGGCCTCTACTGGGATTTGCCCAAAGCACCTAGGCAGGTTAGGCACTTAACTTCCAGGGAAAGCCTGCAGGAGTTGGTCAGTTGGGTGTTTTCACAAAAGCTGTGAAGTATTTATTGTCATCTGGCACTAACTACGTTGATAAATCTGGCCCTAACACCTTTTCATAATTTAACCAGGAGATCTTGACCTGAAATCTAGACTTGGGCCCATCTGTTCTTCTTTTACTTTGAGCTCTAAGCTTTTTTTCAATGGCAGTGCTTTATTAGCATCCTGGCCATGTAAAACAGTGCTCGTATAGATACGACACCTTACACTTAAGGTTCCTTTCTGCTCCTAGATCCGTATAAAACAACAGTACTGCAAGAAACTTCAAGAACCAGATGCTCCTTTTGCAAATTTTCAGACAGTGTGCTAGCTGAAAATACTTGTTTACAAGAGAAAAGTCTCATTCGTGCGTAAATAAAAGACACAGACGACTGAAATTCTCTTGACGCTGGGGCCTTACTACTGAATGAGAGATGAATGAACAGTGATTCCTCATCAGTAATATCAAGGTGCCTTTTCAAGGTCCTATCCTGTAAAAGCTAACCTTCTAAGCTCTTTTCCTCTTCTAGCCAGTAGATAAGTCGGCACAGCCCAGAAGCTGACACCAGGACATGAGTAAAGGCTTGTGTTGTTTCAAGGAAGCTGCATTCTTACTTGGCAGGTTCAGGAGGAATTATGTCAAGAGCTGCTTGTTTCTAATATTATGCAGAGAATGCCTCCCACTATTTATTCCAGATGCTGAACTGTCGATTTATTTATTTATTTGGATTAGCTATATTAAAATATAGCATGCTTCCAAATGCTTTTCTCCCAAATTCCCGAAAGATGACCCTTTCTCATGGGGATGTACATCCTGAAGTCATTTAATGGGCTTAACTCCCACTGCTCTGAATGAGGATAAAGTTCCTGACTCTAGGGTGCCTAAGAACTCCTAGAAGGCTTAATCTTTTGCCTTGAAGTAGTCAGAAGAGGAACGTGGAATTAACACCTAGCAAGGAGATGGCAAAACAGCTGCAGCTTTTCCAGTGACTGTGGCACTACAGTACCTTAGGTTCTGATTACTGCAAGCACCTGAGCAAAGAGATTTAGAGTTTTTAAATGGTTCTCTGCTGACCTCAGAACAATAAGGAAAATAAAGTGGTTGAGTAAAAGTGACCCCTTTGAGCCTTACTTAATGATGCCTCACCTAATTCTGAGTTTTACTTTATCTGCATCAAAGCACAGAGACCTTCCAAACACACACAGGATGGCTGCAAATTTTCATTTGGTTTTGTGTGGGGATTTGAGAGGTTGGTTGTACAAAAAAGAAGACTTTGGGTGGGTCTGAAACTAGTTGAGATGCAGCCATTTGGGTCAAGTTTCTCTTAGCAATGGGATTCACTGAAATCCAAAGCCCAAAGGGAAACTTGGGAGAGTGACTCCAAGCAGGGCAAGAGCCAAGGCAATGTTTTTGCCATCTCCTGTGAGCTGAGCTGACTGCGTTTCAGTCATTGGCTGAGGGCGAGCAGACTTGTGGGCGTTATGGAAGACCAGATCCCCACCTGGTGCAGCTCAGGAATGAGGACAATGGGGCTGCCCAGCTGAAGATGTGATCCAGACAGCTGCCTTCGGCAAGGAGCGCAGGACCTCTGCAGACTGGGATCTAGAGATGAACAAGAGAGGCAGGACAGGAGAAAAACATTCTTGTTCAAGTCCCTTACTGAAGAGTAAGCAGAGATCTGTAAACACTGTCCCAAGACCTGACCCTCCCCACCTCAAGTCTTTTGGCTGTTGAATCAACTTGTTTAGCTTAAAAAAAATTACATCACAGAAGTGGCTGTGAAGTTGGAGTTGGCCGAAAGCATCCGTGCTGAAATCGCTATAGGATTTTTGCAGTTTGCTCTCTCTCTTCCCATTGCGCTTAAAAATCAGAGCAAATAGAACTTCAAAACAAGGGAACGCAGTGAAAAATAAGGCCTTTAAACGTCAGGCAAATCCCTTGCAGAAGACAGACTCTTGGAAGAGCGCTGGGTGCTCACCATCCCCTGAAGTCATTCACTGATTTTAAGGGGCTACCAGCGCTCAAACTCACCACTCCTCAAAGGATTTGGCCCTGTTTTACAGCACGCTATTTGTTTCAGCTGGATCCCTTCAACTGTTGTAGCATCTACTGCTACTTCCCCATAAAATAACAACATCCCATTAGCAGAGCCGTGAGTTTGCCACGCTACGCTACTAGTCACATCAGTCCTTTAGACGTCCTCCCCGTTTTCACTGAGGGAGATGGTATGTATTTTAATGGTTGGCACTTTACGATTTTCCCGGAGAATATTCCCTGAAGTGCCTGCACAGCAGCATTCCTGTAGGAAACCTTTACTTTTCACTTTGGCAGCAGTACAGCTAGACTTGTCTTTAGAGACTGCATTTTTTGTAGGCATGCTTTGCACAGTGGAGAATATCTTCCATTCGCAGACCCCATCGGACTTGGAAATCCTAAAGAAGGTTTCACCTGAGCCAACGGGGATACGGACCACGCCTTTGTGACTCTCTGTGCTTTGGCTAGCGGGATGGTTGAGGTTGAAACTTGGGGATTGCTTCTTCGCTGTTTGCTTTCTTGGAAGACACTGGGCTCTCAGGACATTCTGGAATGCTTTCTTAAACTCTTGACTTGAGCATGGGTAGATTATGGGGTTGATGCAGCTGTTTAAATAGCCAAGCCAAAATGTTATTTTAAAAAGCGTGTCCGGGGGTTTGATTGCAGGAAAGAAAGAACCTAAAATGGAAAATAACACAGATTGTTAAGGCAAAGGCAATGAGCAATTGTGGGTAATGAAAGAAATTTGAACGCTGGAAAAAATAAATAAGATGCAGTTCTGTCTTGGGAAATTGATGACTCAAAGCCTAATTCTTTCAGGAACGAGTCTTTCAGAAGGTATGGTGTTGTACGGTTGCAGGATATTATATCAGAGATCAATACGAGACATCTGTTTTATTATATGAGCATTGAATTTTCCCACTTACAGCCAGAGAGCCAAGCAAGAGGCATGATATCAAGTGAAAAAGGGAAATTTCTTCCTCCAGGACCTCTAACTTAAGATTACTTAGCCAATAACAATCATATCAAGGCGGTCATCAAAAAGGATTTGAAATGGCAAGAAAATTACCATGTCAGGAGTCAGAGTAGGTAAAAAGGAGAATTACTGGGTTGACCGTGCTCCAGCTAAGAGTCTTACAAGATGATAAAGTACTGGGTGCTCAGTTTCCCTTGAAACCTTATGAAAAACTTAATTTCCCACATTTTTGCTGCCTCATGGAATGCATCCAAAATTCATATACGTTAAAGGAAAAGTGCCTTCTTTCTTCAATGAGCACTGGATCAGGTCTCATGGGCAGCCACTCAAGGAAACTGGTGTATGTTTGCGAGGTTGTCTCCCACGGAAACAATCTAAAAGGGAAGAGCTAGATGACTTATTAGTAAGGAAAGTACTGTGAGCCTTTTTATTCTATAAATTGCAGGATAACGTACAAAAAATTATTCCAGAAAGGTTATTGAGCAAATCAATGACACAGGCAGAAATAGCACCTTTATTTTTCCTCAGTGTCTTGGTACAGCAACAGCCAGCTGCAAGTGACCATGTCAATTGAAAATGAAATAGCATTACTAATGTCCTTTTCTTTTAAAGTAGATTACAATATATGATTGATAACATGGAATTCAATTACAGAAGGTATCTGCTGACTTAAAATCTTGTTCTTTGGTTTTTATTTGGTGGAAAACTGTTTCATGAATGTGCATTAAAAATAATGTACTGAAAAACTGCAGAAACTTTATTCTGGGTCTGTTCCAATGACAGGAGATCATTTTTGATAATTGCGAAAAAGTCAAATTTTGGCAGATGTTCCTCTCTTCACATATTGATGCCCTTCTTAATTGTCTCATATGGAGTGGAGCATGCCAATGTTGAAAAGATGACTAAAGAACATGGCACCTCTTTTTTCTAAGGGTTTGAAAATGGAATAGACTTACACAAACTAAATTTAGATAACATAAGAATCTAGAGTCATGAAATACAGGCTTGGAGTGATTGCAGAAATTCATCTTGTGCTTCTCCTGTCTGAAAGTAGGATCAGCTCAGTGTATCGCGCTCTTGGGAAGGACTTGCTGAAGCTGCTATTAAAAACCTTCAAACCTTAAAAACCTTGCGGAGATGCTACAGCCTTCCCAGAGAACCTGTTTGTGTTCTTCTCCACCACCAACCATTGGGAACGTTTTTTGTAAATCCAGTCATTTAACTGCAATACGAGCCCGTTATGCTTGTAAAAGCAAGTGCTTAACTTCAAGTGATTTGAATAGCATGCCAGTAAACGCTTACGAGATTTACATGTTGTTATAAAGCTACACAGATGTAGTTAGGATACCAAAGAGTCCAGGCTGTTGCTTATGGAGAATTGTTCAGAAATTTGTTGCACTTGCTTCCTGAATGACACTGGAAAGCAGCCATTGCGACAAGATCTTGTAGTTCTCTTATTTGGTTCTTCTCTTTGCTTAGAAATAAAAGCAGTATTGTCTGAATGTGAATGAAACAGAAAACTGAACTCCATGGGATATTGTGGTGGGAATAAGTAGCAACAGTACTTCTAGGACCAATTTTTCAAAACGTCCTCCAGGATCAAAAAAAGAAAAAAAAATTTCCTGTATGTTGTCAAGGGAAAAGCTGTTCCTTACTTTCATTGCCTGCCTTCCTCAAAAAAAAGTGATTTTATCATTCCAAAAGTCAGTAATTAGTTTGGATAGCCTATCACGGGCATACGATGCACTATTAATTTCCCAGAAAATGTAACTGGCTTGTTTTAGGCTTCATAGTCAAGTTTATAATGAATAGAACATTTTGCACTGACATATGCTTGTCTTCCTGCCTCCTCCACAAAATTATAAGCATGTCTGCATTGGAAGAAATACTGTGGAAGATTAAGGCATCGATACGTTCATCATCCTCTACTGTTTCTGTTTGTAAGCAGATTCTAAGTATTACAGGGCTTGATCTGTTAGCTGGACCTCCCCTGATTTAGGAAAAGCTGATAGTGCAGTCAGAGGGACTTCTAATTTAACTCTGCGAGCTGCTGAATTTGGGGTTGCTTTTTTCTTCCCATCTTTGTCAAACATAGCTGCAGAGAGTGCAGAAAATGCTTTCAAGCGGTAAAAGCCAGAGAGGAATTTTCAGGGTGTTTTTGCCTGTGTGAGAATATATCAAAATACTGCCTGAACCAGCGACACAAATAGTGCAGCGTGATTAATGACTTGCTCATTCTGCTTCTGCTGAACATGGTCTCTGCTGTGAAACGTGAAGCAATGTCGTCTTGCCGTGGCAGCAAATCTCTGAGTGGAACTGATGGGCCCAGAGGACATGCTGCTGTCAAGGAAGAAATAGGAGGTGTGGCAGGGTGAGAAGTGTTCCAGTTATCTTTGACTTGGGAGAAGTCCCTTAGGACCCAGGCCATCTGGAACATGTTAGAGCAGCCACTATTTTGCACATAAATTAGACTGAGTTGGGATACCCAAAGGCTATGCAGAACATACCAAAGGAGCTTGCTATTTGTATTCAAGCAACTGAACCTCTGATTTCAATTCCAATTACAGCTCGGGCATCAACTACAAGTCTCAGTGCCTCCATGACTGCTCCTGTGTTGGTGTTGCTCAAAGCCATCTAGGTATTCCAGTTTCGCTATTAATTTAACACGGACCAGTTTTTAAGATAAAAAGCGTGCAGAAGAAAGAAAACATTTTGCATAAAAACATTAGGAGCTGTGTGAAACAAATACAGGCTTAGGTCTACGAGGCTGAGTGTAGTAATGGGTAAACAACGATAACAATTCCTATTTCTGCAACTTCTGGCTCACCTTAATATGGAAAGCCTTGCCAAACCCTGTTAAAATAGAAAATAGCCAGCATCAGAATTTTTCTCTTTCTCTTTTTTTTTTTTTTTGTGCTGTGATGGGGAGAGGGTGAGGAGAATCTGCATGCTCATTTATTAATGTAACTTTTTTTGGTTGATCAGTTAAGAGATTTCGTGTCTTGGAACAACACACTGTCAGGGAAAAGGATATGGAGCAATTTTAACAGCATACAAACTTTGCCATCTGTAGACCCCATCGCACATTTTCCTTTTTCATTACCATGGTAGACGTAACTTCAGCTTTAGGACAGGAACTCTACTCTGTCATGCATCTGGTCATGCTAGTCAGTGGTGTTTCATAAATTTGCACCAGCTAAAGCACCATCTATAGGCTTAATTAAAACTGTATGCTGTCCTGTGAGGGAAACAGTACTGACACCAATAGGAAAATAGTACTGCAAGTAGCATCTTCAAAGGACTGAGATTGGAAATGATAGTCAGTGGACCCAGTATGTAACAGGTAGATGTAAAACCAAAGTAGAAATAGTTTGGACCCTCTTCTCACGTAAGCTGAAAACATCATCAACTTCCAGAGCAACGTAAATCAAGTTCAGCATGTCAAAACGTCGAACCACTGAATTACTGCATTGGATGGGTAAAATATTTCACCCTCTGTATCTTCTCTGTATAATGGGCAAAATCCTTCTGTACTTTGCAGGACTGTTGTGAGGAATGACTGACATGTTAGTATTTGTCCTGTGCATTCAGCTAGCCAAAGAAAAGCTATTGCAGACACCTGGGTATCTATAGTTCATGAACTTTTCCTAATCTTTTCTGTTGGCTACCTGAAAATCTGGAAAAAGGGGGAAAATACCATATTCCACAGGTTCCCTGGGTTAAGAATCTTATTTTATATATCTATTATATATATAATTTTCCAGCTCTTTAATAGTCTGTGATGTTGCGGTTGTGATTAATACCAGTGTTTGATGTATCTGGTAGCAAGTAGAAGTTATTTTCAAACAGTGCTGCTAAGCCTGGTGATAAAGCAGTTTGTTCAGTGCGCTGAAACCTCTAAATGGGCAGTGGCTGGTAGTTTAAGTCAGACAAGTTCAAAATTCAAAAAATTCAAAAAAAAATTCAAAATTCAAAAAAATTCAAAATTCAAAAAAAAAGTTTGCTCATAGAAGAAATCAGAGAACGCATTCTCTTGGCAGAGTTCTTCAGCATGTCTCCCCCGTAGCAAATTACTTCTTTCCTTGCACTGTGTCTCCTTTTAGGGAAGGAAGGTGTGCAGGTCTTGCCTGCATACTGGCAGTGTCACCATGCAGATGCAGGGTTTGGGCAAGGTGAGCAAGCTCCCTGTAGCATGAGGAAAGGCTAAGAGCTACTAAGCGCTGCTTGGTTCTGTGGACAATTGTGCATGGAATAAAATGTGTTCTTAGCACTGACGAAGCAACGGCTTTGTTATCGCAGCTCATCCTCCCTTGGGGTGAGCAGTTCAGAGTCCATGTCTGTTCAGTCCTTGACCACTTGGTGGCTGCCAATTAGTGTCAACTTGGATTTGGGCACTTGCCCACTAACAGTCAGGACTGAGAAAGCAGATTTATAATAGCACCTAATTCTCCAGAGGGAGTTTTGCTAATTCTCTCACTAGTAGGCTAGGCGTAATTATAGACCAGGGAGTGCTGCCATCATCCAGCCATCTTCTAATAGAGGTCAGATAGTGAGCAGCAGTTGTGAAGTGAAATATTTTCCCTTTTAAAACTAATTCTCCATCGTATTCACAAGGCTTCATGTCTGCTCTGGTCCTTTGTCGGGAACAAAATGCTAAATAGTGGCAAAACTGAACACGGTTTAGAGACCTCCTCTTCCACTG